AAAACATAATATAAATCAATTTGAAAAAAAAAAGATTGAAAAGTAGCCTAGCCTTATCCGAAAGTTCAAATAGGCCATATAGGCTTAATGTTGTTACTTTTTTTATTCGTTAGAGAATGTAGACACTTCCGTGTCGAATAGCCCCGTGCGAATTAAAACGCCGAAGCCCAGATCACGTGTGATTTCCGGTCAGTCGGCAAACTAAACCTGTTGAACTGCACGTCGCATGTTGATGTGACGTTTTCATAATAAGACGATGACTGAAAGACTGACTTTACTGAAAGTTGGAGATGAATTCCTTTGTAAGGATTTTTTTTCTTTTAAGCTGTTCATATATATTCGGATTCTACCAATCAGCCTTTTGTGAAGATTGGAAATAAAACAGTGACTCAAATCAACAAGTTTAACTCTTTATCTCCGGCAAGAACAATTATTGGTAGAGACCTAAGTAACTTTGTATATCGGCACAAACCAAACGTTCTAAAAAAAAAAAAGGCTGAAATATTGCTAGGTTACCATTGCCACCCACTGACATCGAAATTTAAATTATCGACCATCTGTAAACAAAATTTTTCAAAAAAAGCCAGAACCGACAGACATAGGAATTCGTTCGTACCAAGCAGTGCGGCTACTGAACATACAGTGCTACAAATGAAACACGCAGAGAGAGAGAGAGAGAGAGAGAGAGAGATCAGTGATGGGTACTGATACCTGGGGGGGAGGTAACGTAATCAATGATAAATGGAGTACCATTTTAAACGCTGTAAAAGCACAATTATAATTGATTAAAACTCTGAAAGACTGTTCTCTTTTGGGGTGAAGAGGAGAGCATAAAAAATATCAGAGCTACATTTTGAAACAGATTTGTACTCAGATTGGTGAAAAAAAAGGTGAAATGGAAGCCTAAAGATTTAATGCCATCATCAACACTATTAAAAAAGTCCATCTGCGAAAGGACCGAGCCAATCTTTTTTTTCCCCCATGTAAAGTGTCTTTCCCAAGGACACAATGTCGGACAGAACTGAGGCTCAAACCCCCCGAACCCGCAATCTCACGATTACGAGTCCGGTAGCTCAACCACTAAGCTGTACATGTACTATAGTTGCCAACACAAAAAAGTAACCTATCACCAGGAGTACAGAATGAAGATGCAACATACCAGTCTAGAACATAGTCGCCCACAGTGTGTGATGAATACCAAGAGATATGTCAAATCTGAAGTCTTCTTCTTAGCCATTAACTCGACTATGAGAGGACAAAACTTCAAAGCCAAGCGAAAAAAGCATAAGTAATAGTTCTCAAAAGTAAGATGATACATGATGGAGTCCTGCCCAGTGAAGGTAATCTTCATCAAAGTCATTCAACAATTGCCCCAAATCAATTTCTGGAAGTTTGCAGACAAGGTGTTACAAAGACATCAAATAAAGACAACAAGAGACATCATATACTATAGTTTCATGGTTTCTTCCTAGATTTTAATTTAAAAAATCAAATTTAGCATCCATGTCATGGTTCTCACTTGAACACTCTCTTTTTATTTATCTATCTCAGAACTTCTAAAATTGAATTTGCCTGTAGAATGACACTGACGAAATCATTTTTATAAATACAAACTTAGCACTGAACATGCAGAGAGAGGTCCTCTCAAACCAGCACAGACACTCAATAATTACTACATGATATGTCTTGTACCTTCAGCATATGTGGTGGAGCAATTAGGCACTTTGCTGTCACACACAGGAGACCCCAGTTCGATTCCAAAAGGGACGAAATATTTTTAAAAACATATGACCTTAATTAAATGTACACACACACACAAAACAACTTTGAACTATATGAGCAGAACATAGTTGACAAAGGGGCAGGGCCTACCCAATTTCACCAAAAAAAATTTCAGTGATAATGGTGACCAAGCAATTGACCCTCCCCTAGTACACCAGATGACTGGGTGAAATGGATGAAAACTTGAAATTGAAAAGGTAACCCAATCCTCAGTAACACCTATCAGCATAAAAGATGTTATCATCTGATAAAAATCTGAAACCTTCCTGCTACCACCCATTATTATCCTCTATGCCCCTCCCCCCCCAAACACACAGTGTGCCATATATTTAAAAAAAGCAGGACGCAGAATTCTTTTCACCAAGTAAAAATATCAACATGAACATACTTGAAATGCCAAGAAATATATGCATAATATAATTATAATTAAGAACGAAATTTGGCTGAGAATCTGTTCCCTATGCGCGTGTTTCACTATGAATGATTGAATGTGTGCAAGACTGTATTTCAAATACATATTCTATAAAAATATACAAAACAAGACAATTCTTTTCATAACGGGGAGTAATCCTTTTAAATGCTTACTGAAGCGAAACTCTTTTGTATTCCCTTACGGCATATATATGCAAGTGATAAGAGGACAGAAAAATAAAAACTAAATTTTTTTCAAAGCACAAAGGAGACCTTTTCTATCTCAACAAAAACAACAGCCCTTTACCCAATTATAAACTCTTTTGAGCAACTTTCTGAGCAATGTAAGCACCATCGCTTTATCACATTGTATTACTTTAAGAAGGGCAAACCTACAATAATGTGAGTAGAAAGAGGAGGAGTAAACAGAAAAATTTCAAACTATGGAGAGCAGACTATGGATTTTATCAACAGTAGTACAAACTTCGTGAAATGATGACAAATATTCCAGAAAGGAATAGGGGCATCATATCTCATTCAATGACTCTGTAAAAATGTCTGTCATTAACAAGGCCTATGCTGCTGAATAATCATGGTCTTCTCAAAACTGCCCTTAAGTGTCACATTTCCCTCTATGTAGATCTAAAAGGACATTAAAAGTTAAGCAAGAAAAAAAAATCATGTAGTATATATATAAAGGCCCCAACTAAGACTGACGCCTTTTTGAGTCACGCACAGTTCACATATATATGACAATATATTCAACAAGGAAATTCATTTACACAGCCAGCCGTTTAATATTTTTCTTGTAGATTCCATTAAAAATAGTGAGCCCTGAGCCTCTTGCATGTTTACAGTTTTAATCAAATCACGCCAGTGTTGGTGGAAGAAAAAAAAAAGCAGCTGTGACCCAGATACCCTCGCTTGCATATTTTTAACCATAATGAATGGAACACTCTAAGAGTTTGGGATCATCTAGTTAGGCTAAACATTTTTTTCAACATTAACCTGCCACTCTGTAAACCCATGGGGGTAGAGGTGAGTAGTTACACAGTTACATGTAAGTAGAATACAACAGACGATGATGAATTGACAAGGTTAGGAGAGAAGGAGGGGTTCAAGCGGGTGCATTCTGCATGCTCTCCCCCCTCTTTATTTGGATGATAGAATTGGCATTGATATTTTGTATAGAGAGATATAATCTAGATCTACTAGATTTAGAGTCTAGAATCTAGTGAAAAGCAACTGCCAAGTCAGGCACTGGGACAAAGTATCCACATTCTAGACTCTAGAGATCTAGATTCTAGATCAACCACAGATCTAGAGATTCTAGATCAACCACAAAAATACAGTAGTGGCAGTAGATCTAGATTCTAGATCTAGTCTAGAAAATCTCTAAATCTAGATCTAGATCTAGCAAAAACTGAATGAAAGTGTGAAGATTAAACCTAGACTAGATCTAGATATCTAGATCTAGATCCTAGACATAAAGTATAAAGAACCTGATTGGAACTGGAAATCAGTTTGGGAATCCCCAGTTTGTAATTTACAATCTCATCATCAGTCCTGTGTGTCGGTACGAAAGAAAATGTAGATACACTGAACCTAGAATCTAGATCTAGATCTAATGCTGATCTTTATAAAAATATCTAGACCTCTATATTTTCTCTGCAAAGCCCACGGATGGGGGTGAGCTGAATGAAATAAAAATAGATCTAGGCTAGCCATCTCGACTTGAAAGTTCAAGCTCGATGATCAATGAACTGAAATGAAAGCGAAAGTTGGAAGAAGAAAGAAGACAAGAAAGAATGAATGAAAATTTCACTCTACCAAACATTTGGCGATTAAAAAGTTGTTCAATTAAAGTAGAAAGTACAAACATAACAATTAGCCCCTTTTCACGCAATTCTGTACTCAATCATCGATATGATTGCTATGCGATTGTCGATAGGCACAGCTGTACAACCTATGAATTGCAGCGCGAACGCGAAGTGGGGCATCACATGGAAAGGGGGGAAAAGTCATGCCTCTTTTTCGATCGACCCACTTTTGGACACACAAAAAATGTCAACTACACGTGAACAAGGCGGTGAAAATAGCACATTCATTTTTCATTAATGACAACTACAGGGTAAAAACTTACCATTGAGAGGAAACCAGCTTGAATTGTTTTCGTCTTTTCTGAAACAGTTATCGGCAAAAGGCATTCGTCTTCGAAGGCAACATTATGAACACAACAGAGGGGTAAACATAAACATATTAATCCGCGATGCATAAACAATCATAAAAAATGTGTTAAAATATTACATTCATACACATACTCTTTTCAGTAACAAATAATATGTAGATGTCGAAATGGGCTCAAAATATTTCGGAAATGAGCGTTTTTAAGGTGTAACGATTGTTGGGCTGTGGGTTATTTGGTCTCTGAGCGGAGGACGCTTGTTTTTTCTGGGGGTACACCGGCCCTCCATAGTGACGTCACATGCACCTGCTGTGTAAACAGAAAACAACAAACAAAGGCGAAGCCTTGCCGAACTCTCCTCGTCTTACTTAATCTAAATCTATGTGTCTTACTCTTCTTACAATACTTGAAAAACTTTTTGACTAATATAGCAGCAATGAAAACAATCTATAACTTCTTTTTTTTTTTGAAGGCGCGTTTATTCCTGCGCCCTTTTTTAATTTTAGTTTTTGCACTAATGATTTCAGTAATCCGATAGACAGTATAAATCGAAGCAGATTACTTTCAACTTCAGGATAGATGGGAACAATTGCAATTATCCTAAAACTACACTTTCTTATTTCTCTTAATTCACAAATTAATTTTAGTCTGTAGTCGTGTTTTATTGATAAAACTACATTAAAACTAGCCCATACTTCTGTGATTGTAAATGTGTGGGCTGGTTTTCTTGTACGAACCACAACGATCATTTTGTATGACAGATTTTTTTAAAGTAGAGAAAACGTAACATCCATATAAACCAATCTACTCTTTACAAACTAAGATGTTTCGTGCTTTGCATAATGCTTTTCTGAACCAATTCTTTTATACAAAATTTTTAAATCGCATTTTTCTTACAATGAAAACAAAGCGAGAATTAGAAGCTACGGGAGGTAACTCTTATAATGTGTTTCGATATAGGCTAGTGTATACTTCCGGGGCAAAATGCAAAAATAGAGATTGTTGATGTTGTGTACTTTCGTTTTCACGAATTCATCTTCAACGTTCGTTGTTTTATCTTCATAATACAGTTATTTGATCAACCATACAGAATCTGGATCTAGATCTAGATGTCTAGATCTAAAATCGAGCATATTTTTACTCTTCTTTTCATACCGAATATTTGGTGAGCCTAATAATTGTCTTCAAAAGTTGTGAAAGAACTCTTTTTAAATTTTAAAGTTAAAGTCAGTGTCAGTGTAAATAGCCTCCTAGGCTAAGAAGACAAGAGTTCACTAACTGACTAGAAGATCTAGATTTATACTATTACTACACTACTAGATACCTAGAAATCTAGATCTATCCTTTACTTTACTTGGTAAGATTGAAGAATACCGGACCAGCGGACTGACTTTGCCAAAGTTTGCCTATGACTAGATCTAGAGCTAGATAGATCTATGTCTCAACCTTAGGAATTTATAATTTTCCCGTTTTTAATATAGATTCTATCTCTCAATGGAGAATCTCGGACCGGTAGATCTATTCATTTAAATTTTGTCAGGGGGGAGACCCCCCTGAACCCCCCCTCCCCCCTCCTCCACCCCAACCACCTGCCCCACCAACCCCACTTTCTCGCGCAATAATGTACGAGTGGTCCGGTATTCTTCAATCTTCCCCTTTACTTGGAAGAAGGCCTTTATTTAATAATAGGGTAAATTTTTACTTTCACTCCCGCACACAAATGCACTGTTTCAGGGTTAAACTGCTGTACTGTTTGCTGCAGATCACACATAAAGCCACTAAAATTGTCGCAAATCAATTATTTTCAAGACAATTTAAAATCTAACAGTAAAATATCAAATTATGGGTAAAAACAGGGGGGCATGCCCCCCTGTAACCCCCCAGATTTTCTTTTACCCCAGTGGGGCAGGCCCCCCTGGAACCCCCCGATTGGTCCAAGGCATATCTCGGTTAAAAACAATCAAATATTTCAAAAACTATTAATTTGCGACGGAAATGTAGACAATAGACAACTGGTAGCTGAGTGTGAGACGGGAGGGAAAGTAAAATAATACCAATAATAGATCTAGATCTAGATTTTTAGATCAAATTAATAATCTAATTATACAACAACGTATTATTATAAAAACTTTCATACCCGGTACTTTACTTTAAAATTAGACAGTCATTTCTTCATTTTCTGTGAGTTTCACTTTGTACTTAGACATCGATCTAGATCTTGTACAGTTTCCGTCTTCAGAGATTCGTCATTATCATTAATCATTGAATGGTCATAGGAGTAAATAAATTATTAAAGTAGGTCTAATCTAGATCTGATCTAGACTAGTAGATGTAGATTCTAGAGATAATATTTCTTGTTACCAGACTGGTACAAAAGTGTTCTTCCAAAGATTCTACTCTATTCCAATACCGGGTGCCCACTGCAGTTGGGATCAGGTCGGATGCCCGACTCGTCGCCTGCAAACAAATGCATTTTGTTTTCAAGGCGACAAGTTGGGTGATCGGTTTGTGCCACGATAGCTGGTTTGTGCCCTCAATCTGACTATAGCAAACCTACCCGACCTGACCCGATCGTGCCAATGGGCACCTGGTATAACATGATCAATAAGATCTTTGACTGCCCGAGTCTGAGCTGAAGTAGTAGTTTATAGCTCGTCTCATGCTCCTATTTTTAGGGCTTACACCTGGAGCTTGACTAGACTAGACTAAAACCCAAATTACAGGCATCGATAAATTGTATTAGATTCGTTGTGGTCTACTGCGAGAACTGTCCATTGTATTTTTATTGAACTACGTAGTCTGGTTACATCAGTCTACCGTCCAATTTTCTTACAGTTGTGGTGAGATTCCTTCTCCTTTTGTCTGAAGGCATTTTCTTGCACTCTGTTTGCTGTTACTAAAAAAAAAGAAAAGAAAGAAAATGATGAGGCTTGTTTGGACAAAAGACTAAGCGATTCACCTGCCCCCTCCCCCAGCTTTTTCTGTTTGTTTTTAAATTTTGTGCTGAGGTTGTTAAGGCCTACTTTTTTTATCACAAAAAAGTCTTTGGCCTCCTTTTGATTAAACTGTTTGCGAAATGACATTATAAAAAGCTATTCTCATACCCTCTCTCTTAATCTGTAGTCTTCAGACTTTTCCACAAACATTCATAAGATGTGACATGCATCTCAATAAAAGAAAAGAGCAGGGTCTTTTGACCAAGACACCATACTGTTCAGTGACTGTGCAGTGTTTCGTAGGCAGAAGCTTCCTTGTCAGATGTGCAACACACTAGGTGACCCTGATAACGTACTTTGATGTCAAATGAAAAATAAAAACTTTGCTAAATTTTAGATATTGTATCTATGCTCATTCCGAAAATGAAGTCTGTTTTTAGCTGGTAGGATTATTCTAAAAATTTTGCGCACAATGTTTAATCTTGTGCGGTGGCAAACTTTAAAGCTCCCTGCTCATCTCTCCCAAAGTTAACCTAGAGGTCACAAAAAATATCAGTTTTGCTTGACAAGATTTCTTGATTTGGTCTCCAGTCTTTCATCTGTTAGTCCAATTTTTATGCAATTGTGCAGTTACACGTTACGATATTTGTCATAATTAATTAATAGATTTTCCAGTCCCCACTACAATTTTTATTATTATTACTCACATATAATTGGGCCTCTGGCCCAATAAAATAATGGAGTACAGGGGGAGGGGTGGATTCTAAGTGATCAACCCTGTTTCACAATTAATTGGCTAATTTAGTAGTTTATCAAAATCAGAGCCATTACTACATTCTGCAGTATGAAATATTATATTTAAACTTGTAACATAAGTGATTAATTGTCATATTTTCAAACGAATTTTCCCACCAAGATAAGTAGTAGTAAGAACTATCATGTGAAAGATACTGTCAGCTTGTATATTCTTGTTCTTATGTCTTATGGTGTCATTTGATTCTTTACCTGACGAGTTTCCAATTCTCGGGAATCTTGAATTCCCTCTCTGGTAAAAAAAATAGGTCACCAGTCGGAGAAGCTGATTATGTACTAGCCCTCAGTCGGTATCGATATGGCTAAATGAGGCAGTCGCAGAGAACTTGAGTACTCGCTACTATTGCCAGCTGCACTGCATTCTCACATTGTGCGACGTAGATGTTCTCTCTGCTCTAGACCCTGGCAAAGACCTATATCTTCTACCTCCCCTTAGTGAACAGGGATAACTATAACATTGTACTTCTTCTGCTTCTTCTTCCTCGTTCTCGGTCATTGTACTTCAAATTAACACGTTACGGTCACTTGGCGTAATAATGCACCAGTGAAAATTATCTGTTCCGTTCTCCTGGCGCAGTTCTGATGGGTGACCTGATGTACTGTTGGCTGTGTGACTACAAAGTTTTAAGAAAACACACATACACACGCACACATACGCGCGAGAAAGTGAATCTGCATATGTTTGCACGTGGTCTCAAAAGTAATATTTCAATACAATAATAATTTATGCAGTATCAATATAGCGTAAGGATGTGTGAGTCCCAGGTTGAGTAAATGAAATAATATATTATACTCGAGTGAGTTGAGTACTTGAGCATTTGTGTACTCAAATCCTGAGCACAGGCTGAATATATTACCTAATTTGCTGACTGATGTTGAATTTCAGCATAATATTTCTTAATTACATGCTACATTTTTTTCTCATATCATGCAATTTGTACATAACAAGAAGATTTGCATGTTAAGCCAATTTCTCCATGTGCGTGCAGCGCTCTAGATTGTATAAAACTGCAGCTTAGGTGCAATTTAGGCTCTGGGCAGCATGGCTCAAAAGGATCTACCTATTTATTTTTTTTTAGACAATATTTTTTGGTCTGGTGTCTAGAGTAATTTTAGGTCTAGAGAAGATTTAGACTTGAATAGCCTTGTCACAATACTAAATGAATACATCCTTCAAGGGACTTGTTCACCTGACCATATCATTGGTACGAGATGCATCAAACTCGAAATGCACTGATATTTGTCAAAACTGTTCCCTTTGTTTCTGTTTGGTTGTGTGAATAGGTGGGCTCTTTGCCAGAATGGGCAGGAAAGCCAAGAAAGCTGCAAAGAGAAAATTGGAAGGTACCGATACCCCAGAGGTTTTGAAGAAGAAGGAGGCACATGAAGAACTTGCCAACACAATCAAAGGTCTTCACTGGAGATTGCGAAAGGAATACAGAGCAAGTACGTTAATTTTTCTCACTTTTTGGGGTTTACAAGAAGAACTAGTGAGATGGTATCTTGCCTTCATTTCCTATCGCAGTGGAGATGAGATTTGTAACATAGAAAATTATACATTTTTTGTAACCATCTAATTTCCACTTGGCATTCAGAATGTCTCTTTATTAACATCGAACTTTCAAGAACTCTGCATAGTCTTATCTTGAAAATACTTTTTTGTGTCGAACAATTTTTGCAAATGGTATGACAAATATTAATTTAATATATATGGAGGTTACAGAAATAAGAGGTTTGTTGTAGGCTGTTTAGTTATAAACTTTGGTAGGTTTGTATAACGGGCTTCTGTGATGTAGCAGTTGTGCTTCGCTGTCACTCGAATTCGATTCCTGAGTGGGGAGTTTTTTTATATGAGCATCTCAATCTTCCTGCTGCGATGTTATGTCTCTCTTAGCCGTGGTTGGCCCTGACAAGCAGGGTCAGAAGCCGGCCCCCTAAATAATCTGAAATATGTCGATATAAGGTATAAAAATACTTTAATTTAATTTTTGAAAATTTAAAACAAAAAATTTGTATTGTGGATTTACAAGGGTAAGTGGCACATAAAGCAAGACGTCATAATCTTTTTTTCTTTGACACAAGGGCAACCTCCACCCACTCCATTTAACATTGTACCAAATCTTTGCTAGAACATTATGTACGGATATTTTTAAGAAACTATATATATATATGTTTATATGTTTTACCCTTTTTATTGCATCCCCCCCCCCCCCCCCCAACCACACACACCTCACCACAATCCTTTTTCTGATGCCACTAATTTGAGAATTTGGAAATAAAAGAAGGAACCAGTTTGATTAGTGTCCTGTGATGGTCTTTGTGTTTAATATTTATTGAGTGCTGACATTTTTCGTCAATACCCAAGAGTAGAGGTCTTTAAATTCAATCTTTTTCTTTTTATAAAAGGGGTTAATAAAGTGAAGAACAATGCAGCACTTAAATGCTGCCTGCGGCAGTGACAGAGCATTGTTTGCTATAACTACCCGACTAGGGTTTTGGTCACAAGAAAAATTGGGCCCAAATACGGTCTAACGCATCCAAGATGACCATCCATTGCAAAGGAGAAAAGTGGTCATCTTACACTGGTGGTCCTCTCGGACAGTGTTATTGTACTAAATAGAAGGAAAAAACGCAAGGAGGAAAGTGGGAAGTGGTAGTTTGCACAAATGGTTGTGATAGACAGGTGGTCGTTAGAGCAGGTTCAACTATATAAATTGCCCATGCAGCTCCTATTGAAAACTTAAATCTTGCTTCTCTGTGAACTGATCTGTTTTATTATTATTTATTCTAGGACCAGTGAGATGTAGACTTCGAAACACCTGTCTCAGAAACCAGGGGTACTGATCCAAGTTCCTTTCTTAGCACATCTCATGAAATTTCTCCTTCAGTTGTTGTGATTGCCTCTAACTTATTCCTGTCTATCGTAAACGTTAAAGACAAAGGTGGTTTCCCAAATAACCAACCTGCATTGTTGAATGTGAATACTGAGCTTATCCATTCGACATGCACATCCTTTTCGCCATTCTCCCAAAAAGTTGAATTTTCTTGTACTTTTCGTTTTCTTTCCAGACAATGAAGACCACGATGCGGTGTGGCAGCGGCACAGTCAGGACGTGGGGTCGCTGGAGAAGTACGCGGAGGCGATGCATCGTCTTGCCACAGAGCACTGGGACTGCCACGGCCACACACGCGTACACTGGTGCAGGGACACGGCGCTCGAGTTTTTCCTCAAGGACGGAATGAAGTTAGCCTTAGCCAAAGATGCTAGAAGGAGGGCGTTTGAGGAAGAAAGATTTCAACAGGTTTGTAAGGGCTGGGATGATTTGGGTTGGACTTTAATACTTTGCTGTCACATCTCGCTGATCGGCAAGAACTCCGAACTTCCGCTTCTGCCACAAAACACGGATCGGCAATGTTTACCACCCAGTTTTTTTGGATTTCCACCCAAAATGCTTGTTATAGCCAAGGGTTTTTACTCTATGAGCCTTGTGATGGCAAAGTTTTAATTACAGCTTTATACTCTTTATTTCAAGCGTTTTAATTCAAGCACAAGCCATTCTTGACTTGATCTCCCCCCTCCCCCCCCAATCAAGGTCGTTTTTGTCTGCCATGAACTTACGTCATTATCATCATAGTACTGTTTTATTTTGCACTGGGGAAAGACCCCTGAAGCTACAACGTTTGTGTTCTTTTAGGTATGGAGAGGGTTTTGTGGGCTCCTGTCCATAGGAAGGGGAAGACCCCGTGGAACCTAGAGAAGAATCACCAAAATTGATGAACAGAAAAGTGAGAAGACATGGAATAACATCAAGAGACTAGCCCAGGATATAGAAAGGTGGAAAGTGTTTGTTCGAGGCCTATACCCTGGTGCAGGGTGAGAAAGGCAATGATGATGATGTCAACAGGAATTGCAAAACTTTAAACTGTCTCCTTAACTGAAAGAAAATAAACTATTACATGACACACATGGTGTCTTATACATATGCTTTGAAAAAAAAGTATTTTGATTTACAAGAAAGTTCATGGTGAACAAATGATGATGGACATGGTCAGTACAGACAACATGTTTGTTGGCTTTCAAAACCTGCTCTCTAATTAAAATAAGAGTCAATCAAAATTGTCCAAGATGGCCACCCATTGTAGAAGAGAAAAGTGATTGTCTTAAACATGAGGATGTCTTGGACTGTGTCATTTTAATGTTAATAAAACCAAAACACTAGATATGTGAAGTGGTTGTTTGTACAGGTGATTGTCTTGGACAAGTGGTGGGTAGAGAAGGATTGACTGTACATGTAGTAAGTGAATTTGTAATCCCTCTCCTCTTTCAGGAACAGGCCAGAGCAGAAAGTGAGGGGAAAAGCATAGCCCTAGATCCTTCACTGACTCAAGAGGAAGACAATGTTGTCAAAAGTATTAATTCCTCCGAGAGGGACTCTGGTGACCAGCCTCGAGAAAGCAGAGCGAAGGTCTCATGTCCCTCTAAACAACCTGAACATGAAGACGTTAAACAAATTTCACTCAGATCTGAACTTTGTGTTCCCTCCGAGAACATTGGTCACCAAGGGCTGTCTCCAGATGAAGAGCACCAACCTAATGTGGGTACTACCAGCATTACTGACCAGTCTGGTGATGTTAAGGAAGAACTAAGTTCAAGCGTTGTGGAACATTTGCCAAAGACTGAAAGCAGTATGGTGGCTGAAAATGAGAGTGATGGTGTTTTCAAAGACGAAGACAGAGTGCCTGTGATGTAAGTACTTGAGGGTGTCTGCCCCCCCCCATCCTCTCAATAAAAGTAAGTAAGTATATAGGTTTAACACCCCTATCAACACTATTGGGTTATTTAAGAGGCAGGACCTCCGAATTTAACGTTGGTGTCCAATAGGGCCAAGCCAAATGGGTTGAGAGCGTTGAAAACTCCACAAAATGACCGGAGTTCAAGAACGCCCAGTCTGGGATTTGAACCAAGGTCATCCGTTCCATATTCCAGTATGATACCATGATACCATATGAGCTCCTGGAGTGCCCACCCCTCCCCCCTCCTTCTACTCCCCGTCCCTCTCCACAGAGGCTAATAAAAAATATGTCTGCTATACTGTTTTGGCTTTTATGAATCCTGGGATGGTTATAATAATTAAATGGAATGGTTTGAGTTTTTGATCACTAGAAAAGTATTATTTCTGTGGTGCAAAGGGTGGTAGTATTTATGCTGTTGTCATCTCGGTTGACTTAAAAAAATTTCCTATTAATATTATATAATCTGTCAGTAAGGTCTTTGCTCAAAGACCCTTCCATTCTGGTTAGCTCCACGCCGCTGCAAATTTATATGCGCACCCTAGGAAAACATTTTGTTTCCGGCTGGGAGTGCTCAACAATATTGTGAATACCACCTGATATCATTATCATTGTACTTAATGTCCTTTTCATATATTTCTGTTGTTTGTCTGCTAGTTTCACCCTTAAACTGAAAAGTTTGATAGACGACTGACAAAAACATCTCCTGCCACTGGCTGGGTTTTTTTTGGCCTTCGCCTCAAGAGGTCATTCTTTCTTACTATTGTTTATTTTTGTCCCTGAGGTGTTTCTTTTCTTTTCTTTTTTAATTACTTTACGGCTGGTAAGTCTTGTTTTTTTTTTCTCTCTCTCTTATTCTGTTTCTGTTCTATTGCTTGACACCTGCTTTTTCCCGCCTTAGTTATACTAAATACATCATTTTGCCAATGTGCTTCTTCTGAACTTAAAAGCAGAGTGAATGATTCTGTCATGTATTTCATTTAATTTTCTTAGTATTGTGTGAAACTGTTTGATTGGAAAGAGCAGTTTGGGGGGGGGGGGGTATTTTTACAGTAAATGTTGATTAATGCGTAAAGTGAGTATTTTTTTGGGTGGCAAAGTGCTTGGCTCCCACATCGCAGTACTGCGCTAAGAGGGAAAAATGTTCTAGTTAGTAGAGAAATAATTTCTCAAATTTGTTTCGCTCTCTTGGTTTTCTCCACACTTCCAGATGCTGTTCGCATTCATGACTAACTACTCTACAGCTATTGTCACCACTCATTGTCCTACTGTGCTTAGATAATTTGAGTGTGGAAGAAGTTCTCATTGTCATGACTCAGCTCAAGATAGGTTACGTGTGTGTGTGTGTGTGTGTTTGTGTGTGTGTGCGTGTACATAAAATTTGTTTGTGTTGGTATTTTTATATATGGGAAGAGCGAGGAATAATGGGTATGTAATATGTGTGTGTGTGTGTGTGTATGTGTGTGTGTGTGTTTGCGTGAGAAAAAAAGAGAGCAATGATGGGGTTGCCATAGGTGGGGTTGGGGGTAAGGGAAAAGAGGCAGACGAGGGGC